GTATTGTTTGTGACTGTCCAACACGATCGTCCTTATGTATTGTTTGTGACTGTCCAACACGATCGTCCTTATGTATTGTTTGTGACTGTCCAACAGGTGTTTCGTCTGCTCCGGTCGCTGCGGCCGCTGCGGGTCATCAACCGCGCCCCGGGGCTCAAGCTGGTGGTGCAGACGCTGCTCTCCTCGCTGCGGCCCATCGGCAACATCGTGCTCATCTGCTGCACCTTCTTCATCATCTTCGGCATCCTGGGCGTGCAGCTGTTCAAGGGCGCCTTCCACTACTGCGAGGGCATCGACCTCAAGGACGTGCGCAACCGGAGCGACTGCGAGTCCCGGTCCGGCAAGTGGTCCAACCGCAAGTACAACTTCGACGACCTGTCCAAGGCGCTCATGTCGCTGTTCGTGCTGTCGTCGCGCGACGGCTGGGTCAACATCATGTACACGGGGCTGGACGCGGTCGGCGTGGACCAGCAGCCCATCGAGAACTACAGCGAGTGGCGGCTGCTCTACTTCATCTCCTTCATCCTGCTGGTCGGCTTCTTTGTGCTCAACATGTTCGTGGGCGTGGTCGTGGAGAACTTCCACCGCTGCCGCGAGGAGCAGGAGAAGGAGGAGCGCGTCCGCCGCCTGGCAAAGCGCGCCAAGCAAATGGAGAAGAAGCGACGACGTGAGTAGACTATGCCGACCCCCGCGACCTTGTTCAGGGCCTGACCTTCGACGAAAGTGCCTCATGTACCTCTTTGATGTTCCAGGCATGCACGAGCCGCCTTACTACACGAACTATGGCCGGGTGCGCCTCCTAGTGCACAACGTGGTCACCTCCAAGTACTTCGACCTGGCCATCGCCGCCGTCATCGGCCTCAACGTCATCACCATGGCCATGGAGTACTATATGATGCCCAAGGCAAGGCGACACGACGCATCTGATTTTATAATCTGTAATAAAGAGGGCATTTTGTTTTAACCCCTGTCTTTTCTCCGCCAACAGGCACTCTCTTATGCGCTCAAAATATTCAACTACTTCTTCACTGCCGTCTTCATCCTCGAGTCGACGATGAAGCTGGTCGCGCTCGGGCTGCGCATCTACCTCAAGGACCGCTGGAACCAGCTGGATGTGGGTATCGTCATCCTGTCGGTGATCGGCATCGTCCTGGAGGAGCTCGAGTCGAAGATCATCCCCATCAACCCGACCATCATCCGCGTGATGCGGGTGCTACGGATAGCGCGAGGTGAGTACTTCGACCGCGTATTAAGTCACTTTCTTGTGTTCTACGATAACTGCCATTGTGTTTGTTCTCTTGCAGTCCTGAAGCTCCTCAAAATGGCGAAGGGCATCCGCGCGCTCCTGGACACTGTCATGCAGGCCCTACCCCAAGTCGGCAACCTTGGACTGCTCTTCTTTTTACTCTTCTTTATATTCGCCGCCTTGGGAGTGGAGTTATTCGGCCGACTGGGTGAGTGCGGCAGCTTCTGCGGTTGGTGGGTCGGCGAAGTTGGAAGTTTTCCACCTTAGGTAAACCGTGGCCTTTGTCTTCTTCCCTTTAGAATGCAGTGACGAGCACCCGTGCCAGGGCTTGGGTGAGCACGCGCACTTCGAGAACTTCGGCATGGCCTTCCTGACGCTGTTCCGCGTGGCCACGGGGGACAACTGGAACGGCATCATGAAGGACACGCTGCGCGACGACTGCGACTCGCACGTGGACTGCGTCCGGAACTGCTGCGTGTCGCCCGTCATCGCCCCCATCTTCTTCGTCATCTTCGTCCTCATGGCGCAGTTCGTGCTCGTCAACGTGGTGGTGGC